ACTTCTCCCAATATGTACACTACTCTCCCATGATTCTGGGAAGCCACAGCTCCCAGCCTTGCGCACAATCAGGGGGGTAAAAAAAAATGATACTCTGGTACACTAGAGTCTAGTGTACTGTGCTGCCAGCGTTTTTTGGATATTGTGTTCCTAGCTTGTTGAAGGTAGGCTAGGCTAAGCTATGATGCTCATTAGGTTAGGTGTATGAAATGTACTTACAACTTACTACGGACTTAACTTGTTATCAGGACACAAGCCAAGTCAAGGAGCATCTGTATATCCAAGAGAAAAAGTGCCTATGTCCACCAAAAGACATGTACAAGAATGTTCATAGCAACTTTATTCATAATTATCTCAAACCAGAAGCAACTCAAAAAATCATTAACTAGAGAACGGACAAAAAATTGTGATCTTTCACACAATGGAATACTACAAGACAATGAAATAAAAACCCAAACTATTATTAAATACGACATGGGTAAATCTCACAGACGTAATACTGAACAAAAAAAGGCAGACAAAAGCAAACCTTTAACATTGGTATTGCTATCTGGAGACTGACCAGTATACTAGTATAATGGGGTACTATAAATAATTATAGAATGTTCTAATTGTATTTATTCCTGGTCTCATTGAGAACCAGGAATCTCAGCTGAGAGAAAGATGAAAATATCAATTTAAAAAAAGTTAAAATCTTTTTGTGCTGCCATTGAATTAGATGTATCAGTATGAACTCATGAGGTTCTTTATCTTTATATATATATATTTTAGTTCTGACTACTGAAGAATCCTAGAAACAGTGATCAACCCATTAACAATGAGAAGCCCTAGAGCCTGCCCAGACTGTAGTCTTGAAATTCCATTCCCCAATAAGAGAATCAGGACTCTCTAGAGAACTTGGTGATATTAGGTGTGTAGAGAATACGTACACAGTGAGCCTGGAATTCTTTGTCACACCAGACAAAGAAGCTTTCCAAAATGACTAGCCATGTTAAAGTAACTCAGTAAGCAACTTGAAAAAGCTCCCACACCCCAAAGACTAAATGATTTAAGTATTAATAAGGATTATGAACATAATTTTTAAAAATCCAAATCATAATTTTTGTTTAAAGTAAAGAGTTCATAACAAGTTTGGGGGAGAAGGGAAGACCATAATTGGTCACTGTTGGAGAATGCTAATATAACCAACTTACTTTTTGAAATTGGCAAGCCAAGGGAAACTTTAACCTTTATCCAACTTTATCCTACTACACAGTCATGAGCTGCTTAATGACTGGGATACATTCTGAGAAATATGTCTCCAGAGGATTTCGTTGCTGTAGAAACTTAGGAGTGCACTTACACAAACCTAGATGGTACCCACCTCAGCTACATGGGATATAGCCTATTGCTCCTAGGCTACAATCATGCTACTGTACAAAACAACAACAGCAAAAAACCCACAAGATTAAATCAAGAGCAAGAGAACATGATGCAAACAAGAGACGCAATAAACACGATGTATCAGGCATACTGTTTTACAGCAAACTTTTTTTAATAAGTAGAAAGAGTACACTAAAATAATGATAAAAAGTATAGTATAATGAATACACAAACTAGTAACAGTCATCATTTGTTATAATTATCAAAAAAGCATAGTACATAATTTATATACTATACTTTTATGCAACAGGTGGCACAGGTTTATTTCACCTGCATCACCACAAACATGTGAGTAATGTGTTGCACTATGACATTATGATGGCTACATTGTCACTAGGCAATAAGAATTTTTTTACCTGCCCTGTAACCCTACAGGACCACCGTCGTATATGTGGTCCCTTGCTGACTGAAACACCGTTATGTCGTGTACGACTGTACAAACTGTACCTCTAAGGTAACAAATAACGCATGAGGAATACTGTCTCTTTATAGAACATGCCATCTGACATATGAACAGTAAAGTTATAGCATTAAAATATCACTATCTTGCAACCCCTAATGATTTAATAGACCTAAAGCAGGAAGTCCATCACCTGTTTCTGCAAGTAAAGTTTTCCTGGAACATAGCCATGGCCACTCACTTACTAGTACATTTTGTCTGTGGCGGCTTTCCCATTACAACAGCAGAGATTAGTAGTTGCTGCAGAGAAGACCAGATGGCCCACAGAGTCTAAAATATACACTATTTGCTCCCTTACAGAGAGAGTTTGCCAACCTCTCATCTAAAGCGTTGTGCACAGATAGCAACTAACCACCAACAAGCAGACGTCTGCACCACAGTCACCTGTTACAGACACAGGCCAAAAGAAATCAAACCTGAATCTGAGCATGTCTCGAGATCTGACTACCAATTAACAAGAAATACAAAGGATAGATTAGTAGGTTAATCACTTCACAGAAATATAATCAGAAGCAGCCACAACTACAGGACAAGGACCCAATTTGTTCAATAAATCAATTTTCAGGACAAAAAGGGAAGGTGCAGGTGAGGAAGAAATCTTAAGAGGAAAATCAACCAATTTCAGTGGAAGGAGGGCTTACTTAGATCCTAATTAATCCAGTCAACTGCTTTAACTGGATAAGAGCTAGGATTGGCACCAACTAGGTAAGTGATTATACTGAAATTGTTGTTTATTTAAGGATGATAATGGTATCGTGGTTAATTTGTATATTTACTTTTATAAGAATTTATTGGAGCCAAACTAATAACATGCTGGAACCAAGATCTCAAGCACTCTCATGGGTGTGTGTACACACACACACACACACACACACACACACACACACACACATATATATATTTTAAGAAGGTCTTATACTTTAAGAATACATACTGAAATCCAAATAAATGATCTGATGTCCAAGATTTGCTTTAAAATAATACAGGAGAGGGAGAGAAGTCAGTGGGAGACAGATAATTTGGCCATGACTTGATAATTATTGAACTTTGATTAGCACAAGGGGGTTCATTATACCAGGGTTTATTTATTATACAAGTCTATTTACTTTTGTATATGGTTTAGATTTCCCATTAAAAGATTTCTTCTTCAGACACCAAAAACAAATCTGAAATGAAAAGAAGAGGTCAGGAAGTATGCTAGGTAGCCCCAAAAAGGCAAGCTGGCAGTGAAGGGGATGTGGTCTTCTGAAGGAAGGCTAAGCAGCCAACTTTGAAAAGAACCAGTTTAGACAGACCTTTTCCAACCACATCAAGCAGCTGGAACTAGGAGAAAAGAATGTAGATGGCATTTTAACTTATATTTGAGATTTGGTAAAACAGGTTCCTCAGGATGTTAAAAAGGCAAGAGAATGCAAGATGCTGCTGCAAGGATGACCACAGGGTTTGGGTGAGTAGAAGGCTAATGAGGCTAGGAAAAAACTAAAAATAAGAAAAACTAGAAAACTCCAGGAAACTACAAGTCATAACAAAGACAAAGAACAGATTCGAAAAGTGCGACATGATAGAGGGTTATGAACATGACAGGAAACTTTCCAAGACCTCAGAAATGGAAGTGGTCCAGGTGAGGATGAGGTCTGAGGAAGAAGTGATGGGGTATGAGGAGTACACAGAACTGTGGGGCTCCAGGCCTAGTGAACTAATGCTGGTTTACTACTTGGTTTCAGCTGCCCGCCAAAGAATCAGACCCTTCTCCCAAGCTCAGTTTAGAAGGTTTTAAAAGGACCCCAGGACTGGAACCACTGTTCTAAGACATAGTGTCCTGGAAATGATGGATGCCAACCAGGTCAAGGGCCATGCTGAGAGCCATGAATATGATACAAAAGACAGACAAGGAACATCTGAGTCAAATGAAGAAAATTTCTATAGAAGTCAACAGAAGAGAAGGATAAGAATGTGGAGAGAAAAGAATAAGAGAAAGAAGAAAGACAACAACTTCAAAAGAAAATGGTTAATTGAAAAATGTTCTGATAGTGAGGATCTTATTCTAATCCCACAGTTCAAAGAAAATAGTCTGAAAATATCTCTGTGAGACAGGTTAGGGAAGAAATGGTATCCTCAAAAAAATAAAAATAAAAATCTATCAACTTGTTCATTATGGTCATAAAGTGTTAGGTATATGAAAACACCAAAAAAATCTTATATATCACTTAGCTTAATTCACCCATTTCATAGATGAGAAAGCCGGGGTCTACTAAGGCAAATTAACCTGTACTCAAGAACACAATGCAATTAATGGTTAGAATTAGAGCTAAAACGTACACCCTTCTTCACTCGACCTCCCTGCCTTGCATCTTCACCTAGCACCACGGTTTCCATTTGGTGACTTACTTCCTTACAAATGCTAAATGTCATTATACATTTTCATCCATAAAGAGCAGGCATTTGGTAAGTATTTGTTGACTAACGCTCAAAATGAACCTACTTCAATCATTTTATTTAGTAAAGATCTCAAATTTCAGCAATTTGTTCTGCTCCATTTTACTCCTCTGTACCCCACCCCCAAAATGTGTTCTAAATAAATCTCAGACGTTCAAAAACATGTTGGCTAACTAGCATCTACGATTCCAAAAAAAAAAAATGTTAAGAATATGGAAAGACACACATAGTGCCTGCTATAAAAAGAAGAACTGGAATTACACACCTCTCTTATCATCTCCATAAATGTATACATAATTTACAATCGCTAGGAAGAGGTTGTTCTTGACACAATGTATTCAAATACCTAAATAGATAGGGAATGATAATCATGGGATAAACTACCTCAGCCTCATAGCGAGGGATTATAGAGTACATAGAGTACGCAAACATAAAGTTGTTCTCACATTTTTATTCTTTATAAATAACACATATTATACTGTAACCAGAATATAATATGAAAAGGATGATTTAAAGCTGCCAAAACTTGATGTTACTGCTATTTCAAGATGTGATTTTTTTTTAATTAGCAAAAATAGTGCAGGTATTACTTATATGTAAAAAGAGAAGGTATAAAATAGGAGAAGGCAATCCAAATATTGTTTTACAAAGTTCTATTATTTTTTTAAACACATATCCTTACCACTTAGAAAGGATTGTTGAGGCACACAGTTTGTAGAAAAGACACCAAATTTGGAAAGGATCCATCTAGAAGCTTTTTCAATCTTGTATTTTGTAGGCACACAAATGGGCACGCCAGTGCAAAGCAGCAGTGATTCACCATGTACAAAGCAGAATGTGGAATGATAAAGGCTGGAAAAGAAAGAAATATGGTTGGTTATTAGTAAGAGCCATGTTTGTAACAAAGTTGTAACATTTTATCATTAGTGAAATTAGTTTTTATAACTGAGAATTTGGCTAACAAGAATTTACTTATAAAAAAATCTCAACTATATAGGGAAAAATCTATCTGCAAAGAGAAAACAAGATTCTAATTTAAATATTTTTTTCACCACCTGTAACATCTTTCTGAAGTACATGATGAACTTCTTCACCACCTGTTTCTTGACGACACAAGAGCCATCATCCTAAGAGTGCTTACATGGTACTTAAAGGCATATACTAGTACATTATGGGACTTGGAGTATTAACCCTAGAACTATCTATCTTTCAAAAAGTTCCCAAGGAGGTAAGCATTCTCCATTGCTCAACAATCCTTCTGGGACATTCTTCTAAAGGCGTGCTGTAATTGTACACTCACAAAATAAAGCAAGATTATTGTGGGATTACTTGTAAAAGTGAAAACAACCCAAGAGGGTTGGTAAAGTCGCCTATGTTACATCCATAAGAAAGAATATCATGGAGCTGTAACAATGAATGAGGAAGCACTTAGTGTTTTTCTATGAAAAGATCACCAGAACAAGTAAGGTACAGAAGTATATATACAATAAGAAACAGGGATGGGAATTAACAGCACTCAATGTGTCATTTTGACTTCTGAAACATGTAAATGTTCAAACAAAATTAAATGTAAGACAATTTTTCCAAATACGCTTGATTTTTGCTTTCATTCCTTTTTCATAAAAACATGAGCTTCAATATGATCGGTATAACAAGGCTACTTTTCCTGGAAAATCAAACGGCAGTTATTTTCTTGTCCTTCAGAACAAAATTTCTCTTTCCTACTGGAAGCAGTTCAACAGAGATTCAGTGCCTACTGTGCCTACGTTGTACCAGCACCATACACATCAGAGAACGAAACTAAAAAGTCCCTGCTAAGTGGCCTTAAAACTCGACTGTTCTCCATTTACTCACTGCTAATGAAGGTGCAGTAAAAAAGGCATAAATATCCATTGCTAAAGGAAATGTAAATTTGACAACCATCATGAAAAGCAATTTGTCAACATAGAACAAGAATCTTTAAAATAGTCATAGCTACTGACCTAATTACACTTCTGGGAACTCAAAATGCACAGAATTTTATGTATAAAATTTTTACATTAGTTATAAAGAAAAACTGTAAGAAAGCTAAGTGTCCAAATTTGGAAAACAGTTAACTAAATCATGATTTACTCAGCAGATGCACTATCAGGTTCTAGTTAACCTAGAAGTAATTTCTACTTAAACATGATACACTGGTTAATGTATTTATTCCCACTCCCTTCCCACACTCCTCGGAACTAATTGTAAATTTGAAAAACTGAAAAGAGAGAGAACACTAAAGAGAACAGAACAGATATTCTTTGATAAAATAAAAATACAATTTCAAAAATAACATGGGCAAATGCTGTTAATTTAAAAAAAAGGCATGACTCAATTATATATAATTTCAGCCATATTTTTAATACATTAAAACATGAAAAAACCTACTAAATATTATTTCTAAATAGTGATTTTTTAAAAGTGATTTTTTTTCTTTTATGCAGCTCTATATTTTCCAAAATATCTCCAAAGGGCATTTGTTACTGTTATAGTCAGAAAAATAAAATCACTTTAAAAACATACGCATGCCACTTTGAAAAACAGTCTGGCAGTTCCTCAAAAGTTAAACATGACCTCAAGACAGTCTCTTCAATAAATGGTGCCGGGAAATTTGGTCACATACATGCAAAAAAATGAAACTAGATCACCAACTTACACCATACACAAAAACAAACTCAAAATGGCTAAAGGACTTGAATGTAAGACGGGAAACCATTAAAATCCTACAAGACTCCATAGGCAGCAAAATAGCAGACATATGTCATAGCAATATTTTTACTGACACAGCTCCTAGGGCAAGAGAGACAAAGGAGAAAATAAACAAATGGGACTAAATCAAAATAAAAAGCTTCTGCACAGCAAAAGAAACCATCAACAAAACAACAAGAAAGCCCACTGCATGAGAGAACATATTTGCCAATGGTATTTCAGATAAGGGTTTAATCTCCAAAATTTACAGAGAACTCATCCAACTTAACAAAAGGAAGATAAACGATCCAATCAAAAAATGGGCAAAGGACCTAAATGGACACTTTTAGAAAGAGAACATACAGAAGGCCGAGAGACATATGAAAACATGCTCAAAGTCACTAATCATCCGAGAGATGCAAATCAAAACAACAATGAGGTACCATCTCACACCTGTCAGAATGGCTATCATCAACAAATCAACAAACGACAAATGCTGGGGAGGATGCAGAGAAAAAGGAACCCTCGTGCACTGCTGGTGGGAATGCAGACTGGTGCAGCCACTGTGGGAGACAGTATGGAGTTTCCTCAAAAAGTTAAAAATGGAACTCCCATTTGACCCACTAATCCCACTTCTAGGACTATATCCCAAGAAACCAGAAACACCAAAAAGAAAGGATATTATGCACCCCTATGTTCAAGGCAGCACAATTTACAATAGCTAAGATTTGGAAACAACCTAAGTGCCCATCAGCAGATGAGTGGATTAAAAACCTGTGGCACATCTACACAATGGAATACTACGCCGCTATAAGAAAGAAAGAACTGCCCTAACCGGTTTGGTTCAGTGGATAGAGCGTCAGCCTGAGAACTCAAGGGTCCCGGGTTCGATTCCGGTCAAGGGCATGTACCTTGGTTGTGGGCACATCCCCAGTAGGGAGTGTGCAGGAGGCAGATGATCAATGTTTCTCTCTCATCGATGTTTCTAATTCTCTATCCCTCTTCCTTCCTCTCTGTAAAAAAAAATCAATAAAATATATTTAAAAAAATAAAAATAAAAATCATCATTCTCCCCTTTAAAAAAAAAAGAAAGAAAGAAAGAACTTTTACCATTTGCAACAGCAGGTATGGAACTGGAGAGCATTATGCTAAGCGAAATAAGCCAGTCAGAGAAAGATAAATATCACATGATCACACTCATATGTGGGATATAATGATCAACATAATTTGATGAACAAGAATACATCCAGAGACAAATGGCAGGGAAGGGGGGGGGGGTGGTTAGAGAGAAACCAAAGGACTTGTATGCATGCATATTAGCATAACCAATGGACACAGACACTGGGGTGCTGGGGGCTTGCCCAGGGTGGGAATGGCTGGGGGCGCGGCGGGTGAGGGGGTCAAGCAGGAAAAAGGAGACATATGTAAAACTTTAGACAACAAAATAAATAAATAAATAAATTTTTTTTAAAAAGTTAAACATGACCCAACAATTCTACTCCCAGATATATACCAAAAGAAGTGAAAGCATACAGCCATGCAAAAATAGGTACACAAATGTGTATAGTAGCACTTTTTGTAATAGCTAAAAACAGAATTTACACAAATGTCATCAACTGATGAATGAATAAAATGTGACATATCACTCCAATGCAATATTATTCTTCCATAAAAAGGAATGAAGTGCTAATACATACATGCTACAAAAATGAATCTTAACATTATATGAAATGTCCAGAATAGACAACTAATATAGAGAGAAAGTAGATTAGAGTTTGATTAGGGCCACAGGAAAAGAGATGGGTTTCTTTAGAGGATGATGAAAATGTTCTAAAATCGACTGTGGTGATGGTTGCACAATTCTGTGCAAAAACCTCGAATTATACACTTTAAGTTGGTGATTTGGATGGTGTGTGAATTTTAGCTCAGTAAAGCTGCTATATTACATATATATGTGTGTGTATGTATATATATATATATTCTATCATTTCCTCAGCACTAACCAATATTCCACATATTATTCCTCATCACCTTGCAAAATACTATATAATGAAAAATATATAATTGAATTCAAGATAAAACCAAACTCTTGCCAAACCTAAAACCATGGACAAGCCACAACTTCCGAGGTTCCATTTCCTTTTGGGGGGAGGAGGGGTTCTCTCTGATACACCATTTCATTTTTCTATCAACAACCGAGTTGCATGCCTATCAAGAGTAATTTTTTTATAATTCAATATATATTTTTATTGATTTCAGAGAGGAAGGGAGAGAGAGAGATAGAAACATCAATGATGAGAGAGAATCATTGATCAGCTGCCTTCTGCACGCCCCACAGTGGGGATCTAGCCCACAACCCAGGCATGTGCCCTGACCGGGAACAGAACTATGACCTCCTGGTTCCTAGGTTGATGCTCAACCACTGAGCAACACCAGCCGGGCTCAAGAGTAAATTTTATTTGTTCCAAAATCTGCTTATGCCAGTTGTATTAACTATAGTGATGTAATTTAGTTACATATTACGTCAAAAATATGAGCACAAAAAGAAAATTCTTTGTTGCTGAAACTTAAGCTTTTCAATTTGAAAAAGGCAAGTCACTTTTAAAATATCCTAAACAGAAGGCCTCAGCTATACAGCAGAAGACTGATGATATGTAAGCATTTATACACTTATGAATTATAAAATATTTAAGGTACGTCTCTTTCCTATTATTCCTCATTTTAACCAAATTTGTTTAACCAACCCAACAACTACTGGGTTGCATAAGAGAGAAGAAACTATATTGCATAGAGAGAAGAAACCTGATCTTATATAAGTTATTTGCATAAAAGACTAATGAAAGTACACTACTACTACATTACTATTATTCTATCTCGTGCTCCGAAAGAGTGATGGTTGTCCCCAGTGAGTTCCCTCTTAGAGAGGCTGAGACTTTTCTACCCTTCAAGTTCCCAGACACCCCACAGTCCCTTCCTCTCTACAGATACTCTCATCTCTCAAACTGAAAGGGGGTGCACAATGGAAGCTTCAGATTCCACTCAAGGCTGCCAAGTCCCTCTTCCTGTGCTCAGGCTCTCCGAAGCCTCCCTTCTGAAAGCTAAACCTACATCTCACCTGTGTATTCAGGTGACCATTAAGCAAC